GGAACCGACTATACGACACGTGTCTGAAGATACAGCAAGAAGCAATGTTGATTCGACTGAGAAATCGCTATACTCCCTACGCAAGACTACAGGATCAACTCCTGAGTTGAGTCTATTGACCTTACAGAGCAGCGTAACAGAAGATCGTGAGGGTAGGCTGTTCTTTGAGGACCTACAAAGGATCAGGTACTGACTTTGCCTAAGGTCGCCATGTCCAGGAACAAACAGTTGCTCGCCGTCCAGTGGAATCTTCTGCGCAATTAGATAGCAGCATTGCAGCCAGTCCAACTGAGCCGTTGCAAGGGAGAAAGCCCAAGCCAAAATTCGGTGGCTTCCTGACTCGCACACGATCAATTCGTATGGACGATGGACCTAGGAAGTCAAAGCCGACGACGCCAATCCTTACTACGAATCCAGAAATCATGGTACAATACGACGGCTCCAGTCAGGCCGAGGACAATCAGAGAGCTCCGAAAACGGCACCACTGCAACAGGACCGTTCACTGCGTGACATGATGAATTCCAATACACGCAATCGTTCTGCGGACCGCCAGCCCCAATCTAATAATAGTCAAGAAAACCTTGGCCCACGTCGTGAGGACAGACCTTCTGGTCAAGGGCTGTCGACCTCTAATTCCAGAGTCTTCCGTGAAAGCGGTGGAGCACATGGCGGATCTCACATCTTCTCTAATATCAAAAACACCTCTAGCAAAGCTGCAGACGGCCTTGGCAAAGCAGGCAAGGGAATCTTTGGAAAGATCGCTCGAAGCGGCAGCAGCAACGCAAAAGAAGAGGAGCGTTACGTCTTACGTGTCATCAATCTACCTCTCATCGATCAAACTCGACGTACGCGCATAGCCAGACGGCTCGAGGACTCGAAAGATAAGACAGAGTTTTGGATGCCTGCCTTACCCTGGCGATGCATTGAGTCAGTCTACCTCAAGTCCAAAACTGAAGCATAAGGCTAACGCTGCGGTAGCTATCTGAACTTCCGAGGATGCGAAGAAGAAGGCCTCTATAGAGTACCAGGCAGCGATGTGCAGATCCGTCATTGGCAGAAGCGCTTTGATCAAGGCAAGTGGTAGTCATGGACTGTTCTGTAGCGTATCTAGCTAACAGCAACGCAGAGAGCGACATTAATCTTTTCGATGAGGAAGAACTCTACGACATCAACATCATTGGGTCTATGTTCAAAGCTTGGCTTCGCGAGCTTCCGTCCGAAATCTTACCAAAGGATGTCCAAGCTAGAGTTGCTGAGCAATGTGCAGGAGCCACAGAAGTCCCACAACTCTTAAAAGATGAGCTTTCGTCGCTTCCTCCATGGAACTACTATTTGCTCTTCGCAATCACCTGCCATCTTAGCCTCCTCACAGCCTACTCCGCCAAGAACAAGATGACTTACGGCAACCTCTGCATCTGCTTCCAGCCTGCCCTCAAAATCGACGCACTTTGTTTCCACTTCCTCGTTCAAGATTGGCGCAACTGCTGGCAGGGATGCTGGACGGAGAAGGACGCCCTTGAAGCGGAGTATGGCGTCCTTAACGGCGATCTACCCTCGTCAAGTGGTAGCGGCGCAGGCAGTGGTGGAAACAGCTCAAGCGGGTCAACAGCTGTTGCTGAGGAGCGCTCGTTGGCTTCCTCAAGCAGCCATAAGCCTTCGTTGGGGGGACGTTCTCATCAGATGAGACCACCGCCACTGTCACTCATCAAAGTCAGCGACGACCACTCATCGGGATCTACAACCTCTGAGGAAGGAGGCAACCAGAATGGCTACGCACATACAACAAGCAGGACACGATTACCAGAGCTGGCGCCTGTCATGCCCTTATCTCCTATTAACATGAGCCATTGAGCATCCGACCAATAATACACATCTGTACACGGGATGCAACCTTTTCGGAAACACCATCCACGGTGTCCATCTTACGCAATGACGCTACCTTCGGTGACCCTTCGCGGCCACGCAACTGTCCGCAACGGGAACAGGAGTCACAACACGGCGGCATCCATCATTTTTTCCATTCTAAACACTGTCTTATCCATTAATCTTCCGCAGTCTTGAGGCGACTGAGCAGGCATCTCAGCCTGAGCGAACAGATATCCTAGCCCGTTTACCCACCGTCGGTACCGGCTTCACTTTCCTCCCGGGGAGCGACCCCTTTATCATTGGTCCCAGCGAGTCCTTGAGTTTGGCTATCAGATACCAAATAGTCCTACGTTTACCCCGCGGGTTTGATTGATCCTCACGTCGGCCCCTACGGGCGGCCGACGGATGAGATTGGCATGAGCGCGATTTTCGAAAAAGGCGTCGTTGTATGATATCCTACCAAGCAGAGCGGGTTTTCACTCAATTGAGATAATCTATTCTACACACTATAATCCATCCCCTGCATTCCCTTGACCCGGTGCTCTACAGGGCACGAGCGGCTGATAATTTCCCCCCCCCCCCTATAAAATAATCAACGCCCTCGGTAGACTTGACCTGCTGCACTCTCTAGGCTTCTCATGATTGGGGATCCGTTTCTGCTCGGGGAAAAGGAAAGGGGCAGGAGGGCGAGCTGGGTCGTGGATGAGGAATTCGGTTTCGCGATGCTCGGTCGTAGATAGATAGACCGTTAAGGATCATCGGGGTGGTTGATTGACTGACTGACTGGGATATATTATGAAGGTTTTTTTTTAAAAAAAAAGTGTGCATGATGGGCGAATTTTTCTGTACAATGAATGCTGTACAATATGTAGATAGGGCTGCAACACCCAAGCCATGGCCCGATCCATTTTCTGTACTACAAGTCGCACATGTACATCTCTGCACCACGCTGCTACACCCTCATCCTGACGACCGCCCTTTCCAACTCGCCCACGCAGCCACCGCCGCTCAGACACCATTTCTCCCCCACGAACCCGTCGTCAACCCTCTGCCTCACGACGCCACTGAGGGCCCAATACTCCATCAAGCCCCTCGCCTCCTCCTTGCTCAGCCCGCCCATCCGCTTCACCTCCACCCCGCCCCCTTCGAACACCCCGAGGACCCGCTCGTCGTACTTGGCGAAGGGATCTTTCCGCACGGCGGAGTTGCCCTCGAGTTGGCCGAGGGCGAGTTTCAGGGCGGGAACGACGGGGCTGTTGGATTCGGACGTCGAGGCGAGGACGAGGCCGGCGTTTGGGAGGGGTGAGGTACCGGAGAGGTGGTCGAGGAACCATTTGATTATGGTGAATTGGTGGGCGTGGATTGGCTGATACGTGTTCGATATGTAATGGGTGTTCCTCATCGCATGCGCCAGTCCATCCATACACAGCAACAACGGTGGTCGGTCCGGGAGTGTGAGTTCCCGATATAGCAGTTCGAATATGGGCCAAGCGATCTCTGGGTCTTCCGCACCGAGGAGAGCGAGACGCGAGAGAGAGATGTTCGGAGGTACGGGAATAGGGATCTCATTTTCCGCAGGCGGTTGGGAGAGCTGTAGGGTTTGGAGGATAGGGTTTGCGCGGGATATGGCGTTAAGGAGGGAGGCGGTGTAGGTGCGTTGGGTGTAGAGGGTTGGGGTGGTGGAGGGGAGGGGCCCGTACTCTGTTTGGGCGAGGATGAGGTCTTGGGCTAATGGGAAAGATCAGCAGAGCGAACGAAGAAAGGATCGACTCAATGCTGTAAAGCGAGTCTCCGCGTACCTTGTGGGATGTTGATTACGACCCAGTCTTTCAAAAAGGCCATCGTCATAGCTTGCAGCAGCATCGTCGTCTTCCCGCTCCCTCTCTCACCCACAAACACCCGTCTAATGGTCTTGTCCCCTATTCCCAGGCTTATATTTTCAATCTCCGTCGCCATATCCAACGTATCCTTCCTGATCAGCATGGACGGCCTCCTGAACAGCGGCCATCCCTGTGTGACCTTGAATGCCTCGACAGCCCTCAATTGATCCACCACCGGTCCTGGTATAGCTAAGACGTGCCCACGTAGACTGTCATCGATCATTGATTGAGCGGTGATGTCCTTCAAGCCTTCCACTTCTAATGCGTTGGTGTTACTGAGTACGACTCTCTTCCGTAGAGCTTTGCGTTCGCCAACTGCTGGCTTTTTGCCTCTATCGACCTTTTGTAACTTCTTTTTCTTCTTGGTGAAGGTCTTCTTGGCTCCTTTGACGTTCACTTCTACCATTGGAGACTTGGCTTTCTTCTTCGGTGGAAGGGCGCTTAGAGACGGGCTGGTCGTAAAAGCTGCTGTCGACGCTGGGTAGAGGGTGCATAGCTGCTGTGGGGGCCGGCGCGTTGGGCATGGTTGACATGAAGCTCGGGCTATGCAGCGCCAGCAAGTTTGGAGGCTCATTTGTTATGTACTTTATGTAGTTTCAACGCCCGAAGCTTACAGACTGGAGGGCGAAAGCAGGAGTGTTGATGTCGAGAAATCTTCATCGCTGCTTTAACTGCGGAGGAAAGCCTTGTGTAAATTACGAGTAGCGTATTCAAGAAGTATGCAATTTATTGGCATCGGCCGACCTAACGTGACTTCCCGAACACTGCAAGGTGGCTACGCTAATACTCAATCGAGTACAACATTTTCTGACAGAATAAGAGTATCATCCTTTGCTACCCACACGAAGACATAGCCACCATCTCATTTCAATCTTGTAGAGCTTCATAAAGGCGTCCCAGGCTCCTTCCTACATGAAATCTGCCTTCATTCGCCTTCGCTTCCAACTTCGCTTCCCGTCTCCTCCGATTGTTAAGATTTGTAGATGAGGTGTAACGCATGAGAGGGTTAACCGGAACAAAAGTACGCCTGTCTGTATCACACTTGTTGCACCTATATTTCCTTCAGGATGAAACGACCCGTTGTGCGCTCATCCTGAGAATTGAGCTCCTTTTTACGAACTGTGCGGCATTGAGAGCATATGAGCTCAACGATCTTCGAATCTGTACCGAGCGGGCCACACATTAATGGTGCCAATACTGAAGAAGAATCGTCATTATCGTAAGTCTCCTGTAGGCGGTATTGCTTGATGTGTTCATGGTCGTTCAATGCGTGCTTGGTAGCGTTGCCGAGACTTGACATAATCATCAGAATGGTGATTTTCGTAAGTCTCCTGTAGGCGGTATTGCTTGATGTGTTCATGGTCGTTCAATGCGTGCTTGGTAGCGTTGCCGAGACTTGACATAATCATCAGAATGGAGAGCACGAGCGTCGCGCCGCGCGCGATTATTGCTTCGACCTCATTCCTATCAGTGAAGCCCCTTGGCGATAGGTAGTTCTTGATCGATTCTGGCAAAGTCTCAAAGGTGTGGGCCACTCCACCTCTTTTCTCCAGCGCACGTTCTATGATGAGGGTCTTCAGTGGATCTTGACCAGCGTGTTCCTGATAGTGTTGTAAGATCTCGGGATCATCTGTCTCCTGGAGAAATTTCATAGCTTCCTCGATGTATTTCGCTTCCCATCTGTTGCCCTGGCTTTGGAGTAGATGGGATAGAACATTGCAGTGAATGTTCGGAAACTTGGGCTCAATCTCAAATTGATGAAGAGTCTTCGTTGGTAGCGTTTGGAACAAGAGAGTACCCAACTTCTCTTGAATATTGTGTACAAGCTCCAAAATATCATCTGAAAGCCTCAAATGTATGGGAATACGAGCGAAGCACACCGTTTTCAGCAGTCTATTATAGCGATCAATCATGTGATACGGTAATGATGGGTGATGTTCTTATATGTTGGATGATGATGCTGTCCGACTCGTCGTTGGAGATTCGAACCTTGACCCATGTACAGGCGGAAAAAAGCAGTGTCGTCTCTGGCTCCTGCTCCAGTGATATTGATGAATACTGCGGCACCATTATAGTCGAGGTTGGATTGGATTTGACCGAGCCTCCACAGAACTGTCAGTGAATGCTGCAAATTTATAAATGGAAAACCTCACTTTCAACATCGTAGGGTGACCCTTTACTCCTTTCAAGACAGTTGGTAAAATCTGCCGTAATGGTGTCTTGACAAGACTCCTGTTCATTGGGGTGCCGGGACGCTGTAGAATCGTGTTGAGGTATTCGTAACTTGTTCCATCTCGATTTTTTCTAGAGAATTCTGTCCAACCAATATCTGGTGTCTTGTAATTCTATCTATGGATGAGCCACTTTTGTTTTGGGCTCTCCTTCTCGCCACTGAGGCCAGGGAATCCATGGGCAACCATTCGAAAGTCCTTTCCCATTCTCATGGACATGCTTATGCTTAGGCTTAGGCTTTGTAGAAGATGTCGCTTGATCTTTTGAAGAGGTCATCAAAATGCTCGCAGTCGAACGGATTCGCGTGCTGTCAAGTCCACTTCCCTCATTATCCGAAGCAGGATAAGTCTCCAGCAGATCAAATTTTCGATATACTTTCGACGCGATCATGTTGAAGGTGGCAAAATATACAGACTACTCTAAACAAAAAATCCACGATATGTATTGATTAACATAGATATATATGTTGCATTAGGCAAAATTTTCCATCCAAGGTCGCTTAGCTCAGTTGGTATTTATAACCAATATAATCTAGCACCGATTAATTTACTGAGTTGTCTGATAGGTTAGAGCGTGGTGCTAATATCAATTGTCAACGCCAAGGGTATGTGAATTTGATTACCGGTTTTCCGATCGTCCGATGTCTAACGTCTACCAGTCGCGAGTTCGACCCTCGTAGTGACCAAATTTTTTTCCTTTTCTCTTTTCCTTTCGCTTCTCTCCCGTTGTCGTTTTTATCTCTCATTCGTATGCATGTCTTGTATTTGCGTCTGAATGAAGAATGAAAGGATGAATTAGATCTCCCGCTGGCAAGGAACGCGCGAATGAGAATGAGAACAAAAAGATCGACGTCCAGGCTATAAAGTGGGGGGCAAAGCAGAGTCTTCACTTCATGATAAAAATACTCTAATCCTCCGAGCAACCCTCAACCAAACACGAAGAAGGCCACGACTTGTTGCGCCTGCTGGGACGGGCGACCGAGCTACAGGCTGACAAAGCAAGGTTCGCCATCATGCCTTGAATCAAGTCCAATCCCCATCACCCCGCGGACTCTCCTATCGGTAGCCATACCACCAAGCACCTATACCCAAAATTACTACGAGGTCCTCGCCCTCCCCTCCACTCCTCCCAGAACACAGACATCATAGATCAACATATCCATCTCGCCTACCACCGCACCCTCCTCCTTTGACTACCTCGATAAATCCCGCCCTTCCCTCACCTCACCGCCCACTTGAGATTATATCATAGACCACCAACATTCCAGCCGAAAGCACAGCCTTTCCGCAAACATAAAGGGTGAAAAGGTAGTTGATACGTGTGCGCGGAGATTTCGATGCCTTGTATGGTGTGAAAGGAGTGTCAAAAGCAGCGTTGAAGTCTGGTGGATTCGAGTTTAAAAATGGAGGACAAGGGTGCGTAAAAGGGCTGTAGCCGATCCGTTTCCTATAAAGTAGAATACCTTAGAGTACTAGTATGCTATCTTGGCGTCCACACAAGATCGCGCCCCCATCTAATTTCACCTGTATAGACCACCCACAACAGATAGTATGAATCCTACCTACTCCCTTATTTTAAAAATTATATTCAGAGCTTAGTATTACATACTAGTACAATATCAGATAGGGGCGCGACCTTGTAAAGTATAGACGCCAAGAAATTGCCTTCTTTCTGAATACCCCTATTTTCTTAATCATTGGGGAACTAGAATCGCGATTTTGGCACCCCCATCTAAAAACCAAAAAAGTGCTTTTCTTGAATAGCCTCACAACGATAACTTACAACGCTCTAAAAACTTTATAGATTTTAATAATTATACGAGAGATTATGATTATCAAATTATAGAAGATCTTAATTATTCTTTCTATTATAGAATAAGAATTTAATAAATTCTTAGATTTTCTCGAGATAGTCTTGGCGGTAAAAAAAATAGCCGAGGTAAATTTTTGAAGTTCGCGATATATTCTCGCTTTTTATATTTCACTTATAAGATTAGAATTAAAATCTTTCTTAATTTAAGAGTAGATTCCTTAATATAGTAAGTAGATTTTGTAAAGTTTTTTAGCCTGTAAAAATGAGTGGTGGTGAGGTTATATAGGAAATTCAAATTTTTGATATTTGATTATCGGGGGGTGCCAAAATCGCAGATTTTTTTTAGTTTCCCAATGATTAAGAAAACAGGGGTAGGCTAAAAGCGGCTCTGCAAGAAAAAAGTTGCAAAGATCCACCCATAGCCAGTACCTTTGATATCGAGCAAAACTCTCAACCGACTCAAACCCAACTCATCTTCGGGATACATCCAAAAAGCTCCCCATCATGCCCGGCGACTCGACGCCGGCAGCCTCACAAGCCGCGTCCACCAGCGCCCTCAAATCCGCTCCCAGCGCCGCCTCGCACCCGGACCCATCGTAAATCCCACCTTCCCCCCAACTCACAGCCGACCTCACTGACCCCACCCCCCTTGCCTCCCAGCTCCATAACGGTAACGAAAGCCATCCCCCCAACCTTCGACCTCGGCAACCTCCTCTGCCACGACCCGACCCCGCTGCCCCCCTTGCCGCCCCCCGCCCTCCTCGCCGCCACCGCCCGCGACTGCGCCCAGTCGCTCATCAACCAGCTCCTGACCGCCTGCCCCGTCGTCACCGCCGCCGCCGGCGGCGGCGTCCTGATGGCCCTGCCGCCCGCCACGTTCCCGCTGCCGCGGGAGAAGCCGCTGCCGCGGAAGAAGGCGGAGACGACGTGGGAGCGGTTCGCCAAGAAGAAGGGGATCAGGGATCGGAAGCGGGGGGAGGGGGGGAGGGAGTATGATGCCGGGAAGGGGGAGTGGGTGCCCAGGTGGGGGTACAAGGGGCGGAATAAGGACGGGGAGGGGGGGTGGATTGTGGAGGTCGATGAGGAGAAGGAGAGGGGGTTGGAGGGGGAAGGGACGGGGAAGACGGTTCGGGGGGAGGGGAGGAGGGATAGGGTGGAGAAGGTTAGGAGGAATGAGAGGAAGCAGAGGGCTAATGAGAGGAAGGGGAGGAAATCAGGTGGTGGAGGATAAGCAGGAGAACAGTCGGTGTGACGCATTGACGAGCGACGACTTGCATTGCTGGCGCTCTGGCAAAGGCTACGGAAGGATCAATAATCGACGACTTCGGGCAAAACATATGGCTTTGTTCGCTTTCGTGCAGCGAGGCATAGTAAATCCGAACTGTTGGGAGAGATTATGTGAAAATGGAGGTTTGAAAGCATTTTCCATGGCTGGGATACCACCTACATGATCTGCATTTGCTGCGATAGGATAGATTTCATCGACGGCGAACATGATACCTGCTAGATACACATGCAAAGTCTTGCAAAGTGGTGTCATACAAAAGCAGCAGCAAGTAGCAGATATTCAACTATAACTTCCTCCACTTTACCGCTTCCCATCCTTAAGTCACTCAGCGCAGGCTGCCATTGCTGCGGCCATCTTTCCCATCAGAGCCTGCTGCCGTATTTCCCACTGCGCTTTCATATCTTGAACATGCGATTTGACCACTGCTTTGGAAGTCGCCGCCCGGTCTGCCTGCGCTTTCTCAAAGGTCTTTACCAAGTTCGCATGTCTCCGGTCATTGTTTGCTCTATGTGAGTCAAATTCGTCCTGAAGCCCCTTCTCATAGCTTTCGACTAGACTATTACCACGGCTCGCAAAGTCGGTGACTATATCTCCGACGGCTGTCTCTTTGTCGACCAGATGTCGAATCAAACGCTGAACCCCGGATTAGTACCAGACAAAACGTAATGTCAGAAGTTACTGCTTACATGTGAGATCGTCAGGAGACACTGGAGCATATTCCCCTGGTGCGGCTCCAGTTCTTTTCGCCATTTCGCCTCCCCATCACTTTCTTCTTCCGAAGAATTATCGGGCTGGGATGCTTGTGTGGAAGAGCTCGATTGCGTACTGGAAGAGCTAACTGATATATGGACTTTTTTGTATTTTTTCCTCTTCTTTGGCTCCACCAGTGTTTCGTCGGGGTCATCACCCACATTAAGGGATGGGCGCATTACCACACTGCCCGATCCTCTTTTGTCATTGGCACCGGGATTGGGACGCTTAGCTGCAACTTCGGTTGATTTGCGGAGGGCATTCATGAAAGGATTCAGGGGGTTTTGTGTGGCACCAAGGAAAGGATCTTGAAGGTTAACTGGTACGATCGACTCCCTTGTCTCTGCGTTCACCATCTCTCCGTCGTGGTAAATGTGGTGAGGTGGCATCGTGCCAAAAGCCGAGGGAGCATGAGGTGAGCTGGGTACTTGTTTGCTATTATTCGAGAGACTTTGATACGCCGTAGTCTTTGACTGAGAGACTGAGACAAGAGGTCGAAGAGGAAGAAATGGCTCTGGTAACATGGGATTATTGTCTTGCAACACGATCTGCTCATCAAGCCGAACCTCCGCAAGCGCATCGTTGCCTTCGTCCTCATCTGAATTCTGCTCTTCAGCTGCTATGTTCTCATTACGAGTGATAAAGAATGGCATTGGGCTGCCATTCTCGTTGACTCTTGTGTTTTGAGAGCCAAGCGGTTGAGATCTGTCATGAATCATAGCAGGACTAAGATCAGGGAGCATTCTAGGATGATGATGATGCGCAGTAGGTGGAGTTTCCATATCTCGCTTTTGACGCTTGGAAAGTTGCTCATGCTCCCACGCTGCAGGGTCATCGACGGGCGCGAGTCTGCGCTTTTGGGCTCGATACTTTTGTGTACTTGCCTCACGAGTCGCAAGCGCGTTGCCATTTTTGAGATGCTCGGCCTGTATCCGCTGAAATGAACCGCGGGCTTCCTTTTGAGCATCTCCTGCGTCTTTGAGTTCATGTTGGACATCTTCTGGAAGTATTTCAAGTGCCTCTTGTACTGGAGCGAAGCCTGCTTCCCCCTGATTGATCGTGGGATTGAGAACATCGTGCATACGCAACTCCACTGCAACGGGTCCGCCAGTTCCAACATCCTTTGGAGGCTTTAGCTTCTTCGTGGAAATAGTGCCTTGGTTCCTTGGGCCAGCTGTGGAAAACCCGATCACTGATGGCCTGTTGCTTACAACTGGCGGCGGCGTCTTTCTTGCGTCGTAAGCAGGTTTCCTTCTTGCTGAGACCCCCTCGAGTCGCTCCCGAAGCGCAACTTTGACTCTCTTGTGGCTCGTTTCCCCTACTTGCTCGGATTTTCTTTTGGTTTCAACCCCTGAAGCCGATCTTGACTCGCCACCGGCTTTCAGCCTCTGGATTAGTGAGTCCTCACCCTCGCCATCTACCTGCATGGCGGACTTCAGGTGCTCTTGAGGGTTCCGGGCTTGCTTTCCCCCTTCGATCGATTTGACTCCGAGTTTATCAAACGCTCTCGCTTTGGGCTCTCGCAAAGATCTTACTAGCTTTGCTGATATGGGAGTGCTTGGCCCCTTACTCTCGACGTTTGCATCACCTGAATCCTCTCTGCTCTTGACCTTGGCGTTGATATCTTTCGACTCTGGCATCGAAGCATTCAACTTCGAACCAAAGGGGTCACGTCTCGTGGCAGTGGACTCGGGTAAATGTTTTTGGGCTGCTTCAGCCAACCGCGGCGAAGTCCTTCTCTGTTGAGATTCGACAGCTATTGGGGCTGGTGGGGCTGATGAGGCTTGAGGGGGAGCGACTTTTCTCTCAATGTTGTCCGGTTTTGAATTAACTTCAAGTGACACATCATCCTTGTAGGGCAGTACGGGTTCAACTTGGTCTTGGTCCCCAGGGTTCGCCGGTTTTGTAGCGTCGAGATCATCATGCCCTTGCTTGACATGGTTATCTTGTTGGGGACGAGCGGGAGCTGGATCGGTCTCGGTGACGGATTCATGTTGCTGCGGAATATTGTCTATTACTAAGTTAGCGCTGGCTTCGCTCACTTGGACATTCTCTTCCACGGAAGTAGAGTTTCGCTGATTTGAGTGGTCGCCGAGTCCTGCGTGTTGTAGTATCATCGAAGTCTCGGCAGCACTAGTCTGTTTCTCCTTTTGCAAATTGTCCCTCGTATCACCAGGAGCAGCTGGTGAAGTTTCCGCGGGCGCGTCTCTGACGAGATCAATCTGCTCCGGGCTGCTATCAGCCTTTGGGTCTGATACTGAGTCTGGTATTCGCTCGTCTAAAGAGTCAGGACTGACGCTATCCGGAATGGAATCTCTTTCTAATATATGTGCGGTAGGAAGCTTCCCGCCGGATGTTGTTCGGTCGTCTCTGCCGTCTCCGATCCTATGATTTCTAGGCGCTTTTGCTGCATCTGAAGATCCTTGTCGCTTGCTGCGTGCAAGCGTCGGTACGATTTCCTCGTCGTCCACCATTTCGTCAGATTCGTCGAGGCCCTGAATTTTTCTATTTGCCTTGATAGCTGCAATGCGCCGGGTCCGTGGCTGAAACAATGCAGCTGGTGCAGGCTTCGCTTTCACGACACGAGCTATTGGGGCTTGGGTCTGGGCTTGGGTTGCCTTGTCTGCTTTTGCCTTATCGGAATGTAGCTGAGTTTGAGCCTTGTTTTTCTTGGTCTTCGGTATGCGAACCTCTTGCTTCTTTGCTGCTTTCGCCGGTTGGCGTGACTGCCTCAGTATTTGAGGTCTTTCCTCGCTATGTGCTAGGTTAACGTCCCAGATAGCATCATTATGGTCATCAACGTTCCTGCCACTCGGACTGTTGGTAGATAAGTCGTGATTTGAACCTTTCATTTTGGGTTTCTTCTCATGAGTTCTCTTTAATCGTGGTGCAGGGCCTTTGGATGAAATGGTAGTGGCAGCTTTTGTTAGCACGGGCGTCGCTTGCTTTTGATCGTTGCACGCCACCCTTGTGGCCTCTAGCTGAGCAGTCGTCGCCTTTATCTTGTTTCTAGAGGACTTGATGGTGGAGTCTGCGCGTGTAGGTGATGGCGCTACATCGGGATTATCAAAAGAAGCCTTCGGGGGCTTCGCGGTAGCGTTTGCTTTCCCCTTGCTTTGTGCGAAGTTTTTTGTAGGATTTGTCGACTCTTCCATTACGGTCCTTGTCTTCGCCAGAACAGGTGCTTTGATTTTCTTTCTATTCGTGCTAGCCTTGACATCACCAACACCGTTCTTCGTCGAGGCGGCGAGGTCTTCATCTGCCGTCCGTTCCGTACGCGACGCCACGACTCCGTCGACATTACGAAGCTGTCTACTCAGCTTGGTGGGTGAAGCTGTCTTGGCAATTGCTTGCTGAGCGATCAGTTCGAGTTGCCGTTCCAGTTTTGGGGGGGTATTGTCTCGTGCAACAATTCTTGGAGACCTTCGCTGACCGTCTTTGACTTTTGGACTAGCATGCTTTTGGGGGGTATTTTCTCGTGCAATAATTCTTGGAGACCTTCGGTGACCGTTTTGGACTTTTGGACTGGCATCATAAAGATTATCATGCTCTCCATCCTGACCTTTTCGGCCATATTCGTCCTCAACTGGCTTAACGGCGGACGAGACTACCTGTTGAGGGAGTCGTGCGCGAGACTCTGGAGAATTCTGAATTGAGCTGAAGCCCGTATGCCGTCGTGACGACCTTGGCAGTCTAGTGTCTGGAGTTTGATCGAAAGGTCTCATGGGTTCTTGCGTCCTGTTACTATGAGCTTGAGAGTAACGGACCCGAGCGTTGGACGAAGCGTTTTCGAGATTACGAGCTTGGATATTTCGGTGTTGACTTTCTTCGTTGCTCAAACCGTCAGTTTCGTCAGTTTGAGAGACGTCGATGCCTTCAATGGCCTGCTGTACCAAACCATCATTGTGTGAAACGCCAAACCCCTCTGCCGCCATCTCCATACTATGATCGACCGTTTGAAGACCTTCATCATGCTCTGCCACCGAACTTGAGGACCCTTCTTGACGCTCGGTAGAAGTACGCTGAGAGGTGTAGACACGCTCAAGCTTTGACGGATTGATCGTGTTCACTAAACTTCTATGAGGAATGATGGCATTGGCTAGGGAAGCGGTTCTCATTAAGATTTGACTGTTGCTTAATGCATGTCCAGGCGAAGCAAGTTCGTCGTCTGATAGAATCGGCTCCGAGACGTCAATTGCCCCTGATTGGCTATGTGGCGGAAACGCGTCCGTCCGAACGTTCGTTGGCATGAGCAATCTCCTGAGTGTGTCTGCATCCTTTTCTGAAGCGAACGCAAGTGCCACATGGCGTTCGGCGTGCGTACTGGCGTTGAGGATGCAGTTGGTTGCGCCTCCACCCATCAACTGTATGATCAGTCCAAAAGTAGGGTTTGGTGAGTCTGTGACGAATGCTTCCTCAAAGAAGACATTTATTATAGAGTTGAGTGGCACGTCGATGTAAACTGCCGGTTGAGCGTCGCTTGCTGGCACGATTATGTTGAGCTCTTCGGAGAGGGTGACCAGTATGTCTGCCGCTTCTTCGAGGTCCCATTTGCGGTCTCCGACATAGACAGCTTGAGCGAACATTACGCTCGAAACCCTGCACGAGTTATTAGCCCAAATGGGGAGAATGTAGAGGCAGTAGCTTACTCCTGCGTTAAAATCTTCTTCAGCAGCAATCCATCGACGAATTCTTCAAACGATGTGACCCATTGACTGTTGTGATGCTGGCTTTTGGGAAAGTTAGAATACACAGTCCCACTCGGCCAAAAGGCATCCGGCGACACGCCAGAGCTCAACATCTCGCGGATCATCGAGCCCGCAAGAAGTTTCAAGACTTGGCAGCTTTCGTGTTCGATGACCTCGCTGAGATATTGCCTAGAATGGTACGTCAGATATATTGTTAAGAAGATCCGCTCGAATCACAGCTCACCAGTGTTGCTCTTCAGGTGAATCCGACTGCAGCTTCTCTGTATTTTCGGGGCAGTCTTTGAGAAGTTCCAAAGCAAGTATCCCAAGCTGGTAAGAAGATCAGCTGGAGTGCATCAGGGCGACGAGTAATGCCTACCCATCTTCGAAGCTTGTCAGAGGCATCATGCTTCAGGAAGCCTTTGATAAGTAGAGTCAAGGCAGCTTGTCCCACTGCCATTTTCTTCCCCTGCTTATGGGCTGCCTGATGTACGGAGTCGTGCTGATCCTGATGCAGAGCTTTCTGTACGTAGTGAGTGACCGTTGGATCACAGGTTGTCGACAAACTTACCGCAAGCAGGCAGAGACCTCGTTGCTGTGCAAGGCATACCTGCGAGTATACGAAGATGCTGCACAAGATAGTAAGGCTAAGTGAGTCTAGGCGCTCGCAAAATGTCGAGTCACGGCAATCAAGTGCGAGCACAATCGCTTGTACCTCCTGCATGTTATACTCTCCTCCAGGGGGCCTAGTCTGTTTGATGGCTTCTGAAGTGTTTGCTGGAAATCTGTTTGTTGCCTCGTCAGCTACTACATGCCCAGTCTGAGAATGCCAACCTACGAGACAACCCTGTCATCTCGATGTTGAGAGGACTTTAACCAAGATGCGAGCATCATCAGAGGCGGAGCACCCTGGCTGGGCCGAGGGATAGAATTGCTTGACATGGCTGTGACGGATTGATGGTTGAGATGGCTCGTGATGATTCAGTTCAACGGTAGATGAAGGGACAGAGGCTGCAGTTGGCCAATGTGCATGAGATGAAATGAATGGAATGCTGCGCACGCCAGGCCCGACAGAAGAATCACGAATCCCCAATGTCTGAGGTAGAGAAATGGCAGAACGGTGGTTTTGGAGAATGGGACAAGTTGGAAAAGAGTACCGTCCCAGTATTGAGAAATTAAGATTGTCCTGATATTTCTACATCTTCACTTCAATTTCCAGCAAACGGAGCCAAAAGGAAGGGTTCAAACTTCAAAGCCTATCTCAAATCCCCCGACCTTACAGTGCTAATATCAGTCGTTAAGCCAGGTCCGGAAGGAGGCTGGAAGGAGGGAAGGAGATGATGAGATTAATGGTCACGCTTTCCATTGTGAGCTTTCACGGTCTCACAAGTCAATCGCATCAGTTTGGTGCTCAGACAAGGACAGGCTTCATCTATGGTTGCAGTCATCGGTTTTGGGAGTCAGCGACTATGGGGATCCTCGACATCTCAGGCTACGGGCACATCAATACTTCTCTGGCAAGGGCTAGCTCCTATGTCTCGCAGCACCTTCCTAGCTACCTCTGGCGGATTTTAGCGTGACCATCATCCTCCATAGAGGTAGTCGAGGGGGGTACAGCTCCGTTGTTACCCTTCTTGCAAGGGATAGACATCCTGCTCAACATCGAGCTCCTTGAACACAGATAATGCCATTCCCACGCTTGAAGACGAGGTTGCAATCATGTACTCTTCCCGAAAAGCCTGGATCTCCAGCTGGACATCCGTCACCCTCTTCCCATAGAACCAAATCTCAACACCACCACAAGTCTGACCCCAATCACCTCCAATCTGCGCACTTGCATGCATCTGGCTGGCAGGCAATGGCACCTGGACATTGCGGAACTCCAGATCCTTGAGCCAAGATGCTAGCAGTGCTTCACCTGTCATCTTGACGTAGGCTTCCTTCAGACACCAGTGTGCGTAGAAGTGCCGTAGCTTGGCTCTGATCTCGTCCTGCTGATTGCCTCGTATTGGCGGTACGAACCCTGCAATGTCCTTGATCTCACGAGCTGAAAACACCATTTCGTAAACATTAGCCCAAGCTTCGAAGCCATCTTTCATTACCGTAGTGTAATCTTTCTCCCAATTCATCTTTACAATATCCACCCCTAGTTTTACCGATTCTCCAGGGCATCCTACTAACGCGACCAGAGAGCCATGGTGGGAGACATTGAACTCTAGGCTCTTGGAGCTCGGGACGAGAGGCTTATAGCATGGCTTCTTGTTCGCACCTTCGCTGACAACAGCCTCAGACCAAGGGACTCGACAGGTATTTGCTATTGCCCGATGTTTGAGAAGGTTGGACCCGAGAGAGAGCTTCGCATCACTCGGTCGATAAAAGCGAAGAGCTCTGGCGCGTTCGCCGTCTGCGAGAAGGCCCAGAGCATGTTGGGCCGCCGTGCCAGTCGCCCAGTGCGCTGTAGATTGAGCGCTTTGGCTTCCTCCAACAGGGGCAGGCCACAGCGGCTCGACGTCAAGGAGCCAGCGAAAGACTTTTGTCTCCTCCATAATAATCACACAAATAGCATCTCATCGCTGAGTGCGTGTCGGTAGCATGGAAGATCCTCGAAGGGCGATCAAGTTACTGGAGACCTCATACTTAGAGGCTTCCTTTGAGGCTTCTAGGAAACATCAAGCTGGCTTGGCTCGGCTCGAATTTGTTCCGGCTTGGCATTGTCGAGACTGATACAGTAATCAACAAACAACCGGTGAAGAGGTGACCTTTATTAGACAAATGGTTCGTCTTCCTCACTGTGATTTCTCTATGTACGAGCTTGCTAATCGTATATTTAGCAGATTGCTCGAGTCAACATCCTGATATGATCAAACATTAACCATGATCACGTCAACAGAGCCTCGGATTGGCGCCTCTGCAGGCGAGCAAGCGGCCATTATCTACAAGAAGATCAGGAAGGTCAGCGCAGCTTCTAACGACTCTTGCACCCGCAGACACTGGAACACCCCCCTTCCCTGCCCTTCAGGGCAGCGTAAGGCCCAATCACTACGAGAGCAGCCATTCCGCTTAGACAGTGGAACACCACAAGAACTCGGAGCTGGCCCAGATCATCCGAATACAGTCCTCTACCTCGCATATGGCTCGAACCTCTGCGCGCAGACCTTCCAAGGAAACCGTGGAATACGGCCCTTATCCCAAATCAACGTTGTGGTACCAGAACTAGTCATGACCTTCGACCTCGCTGGCCTGCCCTACGTTGAACCCTGCTTTGCAAACACCAAATATCGCAATATCTCCCCTCCTACCTCTACCTCGGAGAAGTCCCACCTTATCCCAAAGAAAACGCCAAGATACCACAAGAATCGCTGGAAGAAGGGTCTTGTAGGCGTCGTTTACGAAGTAACAAAAGAGGATTATGCCCACATTATAGCTACCGAAGGTGGAGGTGCTTCGTACCAAGACGTCCTTGTCGACTGCTACGAGCTCCCTCATAACGAAGATATAGTGCCCGAGTTTCCAGCCTCCCGTGCTTTCAAAGCGCACACGCTCTACTCTCCCATCCTACCTCCAGGCGAACCACCGGAAAAAGGCGGACGCTTCTCACGTCCAGATCCAGATTATGCGCAAGCATCAGTGCGATACCTGAAGCTGATCACCGATGGTGCGGACGAGCATGCTCTGCCTGGGGAATACAAAGACTATCTACACCAGCTACGCCCGTATAGAATGACGACGCAAAAGCAAATGCTTGGAGGCTGGATCTTCAGCATGATATGGCTACCACTGATCACCGCTGTGTTCGGGTTGAACAGTACTTTTTCTGACGAGAACGGGAAGGCGCCAGCATGGTTGGTGGCAGTGACAGGCGCGATATTCCAGGGGATGTGGACGAGCTATGACGGAGTCTTCTTCAAATTGTTCGGGGATGGGGAAAGGACCGGTGATGAGGATGAAGACGAAGGCGATGGGACTGTGCGGGTAGGTTCTTCAACAAAGTACGACGCCGTCGGTGAGAAAGGCAAGGGTGGATACGAAGACGTTTGAGAGCATCTGTGAAGAGACTTGGAACGCGCGGGCACAAGAAACAGTGGAGCATGATGCATCGTGTCTTGTACCACGAACGTCCATACATGAAGACCTTGACCTAAACCAATCTAAGCACACAAACACTTGATTTTTCCACCCTGACAATCCCCCCATCATAGAGCTCAACACGCCACGCAGCAACCGCATTCCCACAATCCAGAAACTGTAAAAAAAGAAGAAACGCCCATGCCCCCCGGCCCCTCCCCTTACCCAAAAACCTCCCAACAAATCACACCAGAGGACGAGATTCGCCGAAGCCACCCGCTAATGCAACGTAGGCCTCGAAGCGCAGCGGGTGCAAAGTCCGAATATTGAGGAGAGGGGGGAGGAGAGGAGAGGAGAGGAGAGGAGAGGGGGGGAGGGAGAGGAGGAGAGGAGAAGAGAAGAGAAGAGAAGAGAAGAGAAGTGAAGAAGAGAGGCATTGACCCACCTGTTTGAGTTGCGCGGATATGGAATGGTGGTGTTGGATTGGTGGGAGGTTTGGAAAGGTGGATGGATGGATGGATGGATGGATGGATGGATGGATGGATGGATGAACGAAAGAAAGAAAGCCAGCCTTTCAGTATGTTGTAGACCCGCATTCATCATCACAGAGCCAAAACCCTCGTCGTCAAAAGCGTCGTCGTGAGTTCCACATACATACATTTCCCAAACGAAACAACACCGCCCCTTCCTCATCCTCCACCTCCCTCCCTCACTCCCTCCCTATCTCTCGATCAATCGATCGGATGATAACGGATCTCCTATCCCACCCTCAACCCCATCCATCCATCCATCTTGCGCTTCCGACGCCAAGGTCCGAGCCAGCAAGCTGCTTCATCTGTGCCCAGCCGAATCTTCCATCGCGGCCATGCCCACGATGCGGATCCTCTTGTCCAGACAGACAGATAAATAAATAGACAGGCCACTGCGAGAGCGGTCATGAGAGAGTGTTCCAAACATGTCGATCGGAGAGCGAAGGAAGACAGAGGTCCAAGAATGCCTGCTACCGTGGCCTTGCACCGGATCCGTTGCCGATCGTGGGGATTGGAGATGGGGTTTTGGGTCAATGTTCGGATTTGCGAGGTCAGGACGGCAAAGTTCCTAGTGTCGCGGACTCGATCGGGAGACGTAGCGATGCGTTCGTTGCCCGGTTTTGATGACTGTAGTGTTCTGAAAAATGCTGGTATGGGGCAACTGTAGTGAAGTCAGACTTAGACTGCGAGAGCGTGTGAGCACAATGTGGTCTTTTGTCGACAAGCATTCTGTGTAGGTGGTGTAGACTTGTAGGCATGTCGTGTTCCTTTGTATGGTTCCTTGACATGGTTTGTGTCTGGAGAAGCGGGATGTTTGAGTCCTCAAATTGAGTAGGAATGGCTAGCGACAATTTACATCGTACTGAGACACGGTGATGCTGCTTTGAACACCATCAAAGTATCAGGCGTCTCAAGCTGTCATCCAGTGGTGTGCTCATGGTGGTCTCCGGTGGCAGAGGAAAGACCATGTTGCCAGCCGAACTTTGCAATGGCAGCGATGATCCTAAGGCCATTATTCAGTAAGAAACTGGAGGATTCTAAAATTTATTTCCCTGGTTCGTTCGAGGCAGCGAACACCACGGACAAGGTTGGGCGCAATATTGTCATGGCAGATAGGATGCTTAGATGGGAAGACGACCAAGGCAACATCGATTCGACCTGCAGGTGAGGGGCTGGGCGCTCGAGGAAATGCAACGATGCGAGCAGACAGCCTAGCAACATTCACCCGAGGACGGCTCCGTATGCTAGACCACTACCAGCGAATGGCTTGGCTTGGCTTTGAGGGATTTTCGAGAACAAGAGCGATTCTTCTAGATAAATAGGGAACTGGTTGGTGCGTAAGATTGG